CTGCAGAACTTCTAATGGGTCGAATGCTACGAACTCATCACCACTCCATGTTACCATCTTCGTCACATCAACGAAGAAATAGTCTGACGTATTACCGCAAGGGTGATGCCGTCTATGTGCGCGATTATCGACCGAGGAACAGAAAATGGGCCGAAGGCTTGATAGAACGTCGACATGGAACTCTAATGTACAAGGTTAAAGTTGGGGATGAATGGTGGATTAGACATAAAAATCAGATACGACGTCGATATACTACATCCCAAGAACCTAAATTGCCACTGGAATTACTACTGGAAACCTTCAAAATACCACCAGTCAAATCAGAAGCAAAACAAGAGATGCTACCCAGCCGACGATCCCAGCGCAAACGAACACAAACAGTTCATTTCCAAATCGACCCCAAGGAAAAAAGATACTAAACTGTTTGCAAGATTCCTTTTAAAAGGGGGAGGTAATATATACGCAGGTGAATCATTAATATTCATTATTTATTTCACACACTAGCATAATCATTGATTTCACGCATCTGCGTGATTATTGATTTAAATTACTGAATTCCCAGGGTTTGTTAATATTTTTAAAATGTGACATTGATTTTTCTAATTGTATAAATACGGAGTTGTTGTTTAACATTTTCGACTGTTGTTTGAGACAGTAAAAGCTCTCATATCAACGTCCAGTCTTCTCTTTTATTTGTCTTGCGTGCCCGGCGGTATTATTGTTGTTGTTGTTGACGTGCGATTAAGACAGATTAGCCAGCGCATTAGTTAGATTCGCTCGTAGTCTACAAGGTCCTCATATTCACATACATAACAGAAATATACTAGAGACAGGATATGCAATTGATGTTTAGACGTTTATTATACGTACTGTAAAATGTGTTGGTGGTAGCGTATCTTAAAGTTTGTAGAAGCCTTAGCGATTAGGAAGTCTAGACAATTAGTCATTATGAAACCTTCTTAGGTAAATTTTGTTCTGATATATCAGGATAGATGGACTAGTACCGCCCTTCTTCGGTTTATTATTTTGATCTGATCTATATCTATTCATTCAACTCCGTTAACACTTTATTATTTTCATATAAATCACTAATAACAAGTAAGTATATGTGATCAGATGGCTCGAAATGTGTTGCACAAATACATTACAGGATTCATAAGGATTAAGTCTTCTTATTACTTTGCCAATATTCATAAAGGGAACTAACTGTTTCAAAATCTAAACTACCACAAGAAAACCAAAACATATCGACTTACATAAATCCTAATGAAACGCTTTAAATCCTTTTAATGGTAATGCAACCAAGTCTGTTTTGTAGTGTTAATACACCTGAATTTCGAAGAATATTTGAGAATACCAGTGATTGAAGATGGTCAATATTTTGGTAAAGGAGTAACTTGAAGTAATAATATGTTTGATATAGGGAGAGTTTTGGTAGCCCAAAGTCTCTGCAGCCTACCAACCAGAACACATTGGTTTCAATGGAAGTCGTCGCCAAGGAGATGGATATTCAATTCTCTAATGATTTTCCAATCGTCATCACGGATACAAGATTACACTTGTCCCAACAGTTTACCTAATTCTTCTGTGTTTAATATTACAACTGTTACCCAGGCTGTGTGCAACACATTTATTGTGTCATAACTGATGATAGTTACCAACTTCTCAGACAGAGGAGGTAGACGAAGCAGCACTCAAACCCAGGACTACCCACTAAGCCAATGAACCATACCTTTTTGGCATTAAACATGTACGCACTACAACATATTATCTTATTTCCTAACGACTTAGGAATCGACTTGTTACCAGGGAATAGTCTTATAGACTTAGAATACGCAGACGACATAGTCCTGTTAGGGGAGGACGCTGACAAAATGCAGAGTCTTCTGAACACCTTGAGCAGGAATCTTCGTATGTTTGGCATGCGATTCGCCCCTGTGAAATGTAAGATGCTGCTACAGGACTGGACTACGTCAACTCCTAGCTTAGTGATAGGGAGTGAAGTGATAGAACATGTTGACCACTTCACCTATTTGGGAAGTTGTATCAGCACCAACTGATTGATTGGTGACGAAATCACAGCACGGATCCAGAAAGCTCGGGCTGCTTTCGCTAACTTACACCGTCTCTGGCGTAGGCGTGACATCCGACTGTCAACCAAGGGACGTGTGTACTGCTCAGCAGTTCGCTCCGTCCTTCTCTATGGCGGTGAGAAGTGGCCATTGAGAGCGGAAGACATCAAGAGATTGTCTGCTTTTGACCACAGATGTTTACGATCTCTTTCTCGCGGTAGGTGGTATAATAAGGTAAGTAATGTTGACGTTAGGCGTAGAGTGTTGGGCAGAGAGGGAAAATCACTCGAAGAGGCTATAAAGTTACATAGATTGAGATGGTTAGGTCACGTGCTGCGTATGCCTAACCATCGTCTCCCCCGACGGGCATTACTAGCTGATATAGGTGCAGGTTGGAAAAGAGTAAGTGGTGGCCAAACAAAAACATGGCATCAATCCATGAAATCCCTGACAGTTAAACTGAGTCAGGTAGGGAGATGCAGACTTCCGGGTTGGGGCCCGCCCTCGGGACTCTAAGAATCAATGGCTGGAGACAATAGGTGACATGGCTAAAAATCGTTGTCAATGGCGCAGATGTATTCAGTCTCTGTAATCTTTCATATTCCTTTCTACCATTACTCATTCTGTTTCACTCTTATACTTGTCAAAACTCTATTGATTCTCTTCACTCACTTTCTTGTCTACCTTTGTGTGCTATTTGGAACGTGGCAACTGGAACTGCTGCACTTCGGTGCCAAGTTCTATGTTGAATCCAGGAGCAGCAGCAACTAAATCATATGAGATGAAAAATAAATTAAATGACATTCAACTAGAGAATGATGAAATAATGGTTAGTTTTGATATAACTAGTCTTTATACTAATGTACCAATCAATATGGCCTTAGAAGCAGTTAAAAAAGAACTAGCTGCAGATCCTAAACTCACTCATAGGACATAGCTGCCCATTGAAGAAATTATTTTAGGAATTCAGTTATGCCTCACATTTACTGTCTTTAAATTCCAAGGCAAAATATATAGACAAACAGAAGGTGTAGCAATGGGATCCCCAATATCCCCTATCGTAGCAGATATATTTATGGATAGCTGGGAAAATATGGCTCTTAATACGTTTAATCCTACTCCAAAAATATGGTGGAGATATGTGGATGACACTTTCACAGTGTTAACAAAACAGAACATATCTCTAGCTTCTTGACTCATATAAACTCACTAGTAGAGGGAATAAAATTCACATTTGAATCGGAAAGTGAACAAGAAGAATTAGCTATGTTAGATTTTAAAATAAAACGAATAGAAGAAGGTAAACTGCACACTAGTGTTTATAAAAAACCAACGCATTCTGATAGATATTTAGACTTTAATTCGTCTCATCCGTTAACTGTTAAGGTAGGCTTAGTAGTTAGGTATTTAACAAACCAAGCAGTAGCACTAAGTAGCACAAGAAAAGACCTAAATGATGAAATAAAACAGATACAAGCGAACTGCTGCACTTCGGTGCCAAGTTCTATGTTGAATCCAGCAGCAGCAGGCATGCTTCAGTGTTTAGAGAAGCAACTTTCAATTGTACTTTACTGCTACTTTGACCAATAGTAATTAGTTCATTAAACTACCATTAATCCCGCTCGAAATTCGATTCACAAATTGTAACGGAATAATTGCTTGGAAAATCCCTCCTCGACGATATATTTACGATATTCCTACTTATTTAGATATTCCAACTAACTTTTCTCTTAGACTATATATTATTGTTCGGACGTTTGCATATCATCTTTTGACTTAATAATCCCTATTATTTGTCTTGGTTCCTGGTTAATCTCTAATTTTAATGCGTCTCTTTGTGGTTATGTGATGATATCGATAATATATTGTTTCACGACTGCGATTCTGTTTGAGTGAAGTTAAGGTCAAAATGACCTTGAACTGTCTGTGGGAATTGCTCGGCGCGTGATTCCTGCTTGACAGGGTTTTGATCCCAACCTTGTTGAGAATATTCTTCTTGATTCTTAAAGTAGTTCTTACGGTTGATTTTGGTTAAATAATTCTGTTGTGCAGTGTACTTGTTTGTAACTGAGAAAGTACCGGATCAGTGTAGCTGCCTAACGGCATTGTCGAGGTTATTTCGACCGTGCGCTGTGTTTGTATACTGTAAGGTAGTACCACAGATTTTATCGCAAATAACATTCCTTTTTAAGTATTGGCTTGTAGGGATTTGGCTGATTGGTTACAAGATTTCATCATGAGTTGACATCAGTTAGAGAACTATTGGAAAACCTGGGAGTACTGGACAGCCGTTTCGTCCTAGTTTGGGACTCCTCATCAGTACGCACCCACCGGGGTTCGAACCCAGGACCTTCTGGTTACAAGGCGAGCTCGTATACCATTAAGCCATGGGGACCTCGGGTTCGAACCCCGGTGGGTGCGTGCTGCTGAAGAGTCCCAAACTAGGACGAAACGGCTGTCCAGTACTCCCAGGTTTTCTAATGGTTCTCTAACCAATGTCAGCTCATGATGAAATCCTGTAAACATTCCTTTTGCTGTCGTCAGAGTATTTTGGGACTGCGAGTCAACTCAAGGTGTGGTGAGAGCTATCTGCAAGACAACATCGTAGACAACAATTTATGTCAATGTTTACCTCCCGAATCGGGGTCATGAGAAAAGGTTCTTCACCAACCAATCACAGCAGACTTAACTTTTGCAAATATGGCCCGGCTTTCTAAGAAACGGCCACAAAGAGATGACAGAATAACCTTCAGCAAGGAAACAACCAATCAGAAGACGTTGCTTCTCTGCTAACAAAAACGAATAATAATGTACACAAAAATCTATAAATATCTCTTGATTTTCTCAATAAACGATCTGTTGCCTGGCCCTTGTCGTTACAAAAGAAGTTTTGGTTGGCTATGCAGTAGAACGCGAAGATTAGTTCCCAGTGTTCAGTTTTGCTGGCTACACACACACACACACAACTACCCTCTTTTTTAAAAATAAAACAAATATCCACAAGTGTTTATTCAAATAATAATATTTGAAATAATACACAGAGTAAATCATCTGATTGGAAGTGAACAAGTCGGCGAATAATGAATAAAGCACAGCCGAAATTCATAATCATCCATCTTGAAGAATTAGATAATAAAAATCAGAATATTTCATCATAAAACACCTTCGGTCCCAACAGTTACATTTTTCTGCATTATTTTACTTTACACTACACTTTTAATTGTTCAAGTTCAACACGAACAGCCTTCTTATATTGATCCAAACCACCAGGTAGCGAATATACACGACTTCCTTTGTTCTCTTCAACAGGATCTATTCCCATACGTGTACATACCCATACTTCATTGCATACAGCTTGAATTAAGCGTTCGTCGTGTGAAACTAGGACAACTCCACCGGAAAATTTAACTAAAGCATCCGATAAACCTGCAATAGTTTCAACGTCTAAATGATTGGTCGGTTCATCGAGAACTAATAAATTGGGGCTAATAAGTAAAAAATAAAAAACAAAATAAAATAACACGATAAATTTGTAAGTAAATAGTTATTGCCTCATAAATTTAAAAACAACAATCAAAATTAAATTTGGTTTTAAAATAAAACTGTTATGATGTCGCCGAGTGTAAATACGAATGCTGACTGACGATAATAAACGCTTGATGACTGGCTTAGTCGATTATTCCCTGATCCGAAACTAGTAAATTCCAGAAGACACACAGTAGGGTTGGAAGTGTGTATTTCCAAAACAAGAGAGAGAGAGAGAAAATGACCCAAAGTGTACAAAATATCTAACCATAAGGCTTGAATAATAGGCGCTAATAATATGCTGGATTCTGATTGGTTGACGCTCACCATGTGGTAACATGTGGTTTGTTTTTATCTGACTAACAGACTATTGAGATAAATTGTGGGTATATATGAAAAACGGCCTGAAGTGAAAGTAGCAGTCAGGTAAGCCTCAACTGTAAGACTGTACTGCTTAACCCCCCACCCCTATGGAAAAAACTGGAATATATCACACCACAAGATGTCATCTCAGTGAAAACACACATAATATAAGAAATGCAATCTTAACGTCTATATAAAATACACTGCTGATAAATATACGAGTTTCGGACACCAACCAATGGTTGCCACTAGTTGAATCATAGGGTCGTTTCGTTTTATGTAATATAGTTCATCAATAATTTCTTCAAACAGATCTGCTTGCGAGATAAATACGTAAAATAGGCTAATACTAATTAGGGAAATGTGGAACAAGAAGTAAAATTTGGTTTATATATGTGGTTACAGGATTTCATTATGAGCTCACATCAGTTAGAGAACAACTGGAAAACCTGGGAGTACTGGACAGCTGTTTCATCAACCTGGTTTAGGACTCTTCATCAGTAAGCACCCACACTACGGGGTTCGAACCTAAGAACTTCTGGTTACAAGGCGAGCTCGTAGACCATTAACCCACTGGAGTTTTAGTGGGAAGTCATGACCAGTAGGGTACAGAAGGTCGGCCGTGAGGACAAATACTGGCCAGTGATGACATTCGGTAGTGGCCAACCCATGAATTCTAACTTCTGCCAATTCACGACAGCGCGATCTTCAGCAGTAAACCAATCTTAACTTTTAGAAACCTAAAAGTGATTTGTCCGAACTGGAGGCCTTATGTGACTTAGGTACTTGAGGGATTTGAGGTGATCGAACTAACATAAAGGCTTAAGATCGACAGCTGATCACCTTTGAGACATATGAACACTATAAAACCAAACTATTTATTGTAGTTAACTGGAGAATAACAATCTTTCACCAACGTGAAACTTACTTCGACATACACATTGCAACAAATGCAACTCGTGACTTTTGACCTCCTGAAAGACTTCCAATCGGTTGAAGGGCCAACATTTCAGTTATATTGAAATTTGCCAACTGAGAACGATAAACTTGTTCACCTTGATTAGGAAATTTTCGCATCAAAAATTCTAAACTGCTTAATTTCAAATCCAATTGATCAACATGATGCTGACTAAAGTAGCCAATACGTAGATTACGATGAGCATGACGCAGTCCTGAAGTAGGCTCCAAATCTCCAAGAAGAATTCTAAGTAGTGTAGTTTTACCTGCACCATTTTCACCGACCTAAATGAGCGATCAAACAAGAAAGAACAATGACGATAATAATTGGCACTGGAGTATAAACGTATAAGGAAAAATCGATAATAACAAGTGCAATAAATCCTGAAATATATCCTTGGTTCAGACAACAAGCTGAAAAGACCCTGTATTGTATTCAGGATGGATTTAAAGTAATTATTTGTGAAGCTGCATCAACCCTAATTGCTGAATAAATCTCATTACAGATATGAAAAGCTCTCCTATAGGTATAGCCAACTTGCGTCATCTTTAGTGCAGATGTCATATCCAGTAATCTATCAAATGATGCATCTAATGTGCAGCGATTCACTCCATCTTACATTACACTCATGCGATGGTCGTTGAAGACCAGGTTACGAGACCAAGTTCACTGACTGTTCAGGTACTAGTACACCGTGCGGCTCAGTGGTAGAATACTTGCCAACTACTCACGTGGTCCCAGTTCGATTTTCATCTAACTCACTCACAAACCCTCACCTAGCCGTTAGTAAGCCCTGTAAAGAGAGGAGGTTGGGCATCTCATCCAAAGAAACACCACTACGACTGAAACTTCAGACCTCAGACTTGAAACCGTATTTTCCACTCGGAATGCAAAACATGAAGAAGATGGGGGATATAAATAGACCAACTTTTGATGACGAGAGTTGTCTGTGTTCAACTTCTCACATTAGGCGGTGCAATACAATCAGTGTTAAGGAAGCAAGAGAAGTCAACTGATAAGATTATGAAGCTCTATTGACTGAGACAGATAGGAGATGTATTACGCATGCGAAAATATGATTAGGTAGAAAAAATATTCTAGGAGTGACTACATCAAAACATGGCACCAATCCATGAAACCACTGACTGTTGGTTTAAACTAGGGAAATATAGATTCTGACAAAAACACTTATAAACAAATTCGAAAATTAATAAATATATAATGGAAATTACTTACAATACTAATACGTGAATCTGGTGATATACTCAAATTGACATGATTCAAAATCGGTTTCTCTGGTACATAATGAAAACAAACTTCATCAAGTTGTATAACCGGTGGAGAAAGTTTTTCACAGTCTGGTAATCGGATAACAACTTTGACTTCTTTTTCAGGGGGTATTAAAGGAGGTAACTTTTCTAATTGTTTAATTCGACTTTGTACAAGAGAGGCACGTTTTGCATTATAACGAAATTTATCTATAAATTGCTTAGAGTTAAATAAAAGAAGAAAAATATAAAAAGAAAGGTATGAATAAATCAAGAATGTGGAAATTCGGCAGGATATAATTATACAACGCCGAAATAAAAAAAGTTCATCACAGCCTCATGTAGCCATGCGTTTATATCCTCCTCCAGGTAGGTTCTATTAACTGCCTTCATGCGGCGGGGATGTTCCTACACAAGTGAAAGGGTGAATGCGAACGTTCGGTGCTTACAATCGAACTACCGGACCTGCTAGTCTACCTGGGGGAGCTGAAAAACCCTGATTCTAAATCTATGGTCCACACAAGCTCCAGAATCCGAAGAGATCGAACGGCATATGAATCTGTTTTGGACACTGGAAACCATTAGAACACAGTTCCTGGCGCTGCTCCACTGACTTGTAGATCAAATTCCAAGTCAGAGGTTCTGGGAATGGACCCATAAGACAAACCCCCATGCTTCGGTCTGGGTGTCCGGGCAGTATCCCAGACCTCACACAAACCATGAGATTTTGTGTGGCGAATCTCTTGGTCCCAATAATGTATTTTTAATAATAATAATAATAATATTACATGTACAAAATCCGTTTTAGACATAAGGAACAACTGCTTTTTTCAGAATCCTTCGAAGTATAAACAGAAAATGTATAAATATATCTCACAAATATGTTAGTCGCCCAAAGATCAATAATAATAATAACAGCAACCCGGTAGAGCATAAGATGTGCGGCTATAGAGAACTACACTTAGTATTGAGATATTACTCAGTTCTCCACGCCCAGGTAGTCGAAATAGACCTGGAAAATGGGAGATACTGCCTAAATGATTGACTTAAATAAATGTAATAGGTTTTAGTATGTTTTCTTTGTCAGTATCAACAATGAGAACGCTGCCTTCAAGAGGGTATTTCCAGTAACATTTCACAGTAAGAAGTGATTTTATGGCAACAAATGTCACGTATATAGATTTGGTCAAAAATTAAGAGAAATGAGTAATAAGTGTTCGTAATAGACTGCAGACTATTATCAAAAGACACCTTCGCTCCGTACTGAAAATCACATGACTAGCCAGAAAGGATAAGCAACAAGGAATTCTGGCAGTAAACCAACCAAGGACGTATTACCCACAACAGATGTGCAGAAGGAAATGGAGGTGGAGTGAGCATACATTGAGGAGACCGTTGAGTAACATCACAAGCTAGGCAGACTCTCGAGTAGGAACCCCAACAGGAAATAACGAGTTGGGCTTGGGTTCATGGGTGACATAGAGGAGATCATGTGAGAAGATGAAAGCTTATGTGCAACCGCAGTGCCAGCTAGAAAAAGACTGTCGAGGACGAAACGAAGTGGAGATGTGTTGTTGAGGCTGTATGTTTCACTGTGAACTCAAGGGAATACTCATCATAATAAATAAATTAGTGCTTTATTTCTGTGATTGTGGTGATTAGACAGACAATCATAAGGTGTATAGGTATACTGCTGTTATTGGATCGGAAGAATAGATCGTATCTAAAATGTGCCTTTCAGCAGTGCATCACACTTTCACTCTGTTCTGTAGAGTCGTTTGATGATTGCCCATCAGATCTCATTTCCTCTTCACATGATGCCCCTCCACGTCATCATTGGACGCCCAACTTCTCGTTTACCATTTGGTTTCCACTCGACGGCCTGGCTGGCTTGTAATGTCAATCAATAGATTCCTCGGTGTATATCAAATGGACTTCTATTTCCTTAGGCATATTTTCTGGGTGATAGGTTCTCGTTTGGTTGATTTCAAGTGTTCTTTGTTCCTTTTTTCTGGTCATCTGATATTCAATATCGAGCGAAGGCATTTGCTGATGGAAATTTGCAGCCTGCTGATGGTGCTTTCCATCACGCGCCAAGTCACCGAACCATATATAGGAACTGATTTCATATTGGTGTTCGAAATCCGGCTGTTTGTTGTGCTTAGTACTGTAGATCTCCACACTCATTTTAAAGTAATGAACAGTCTTGTTTTTTCGATCCAAGCTTTAACATCTTTATCCGTACCGTCTGTAGTTTACACGATGCCTCCGAAGTAAGTGGAAGAAACGACTTCTTTCAAATTCCTCCCGTTTATGATGATTGGTGATTGTTATGGGTTAAGTATCTTCATATATATTCCCTTGAAGCCCTGTCTTCGCAATCAAGAAGGCAAGAATAATTACATAACGACATGTGCTACTGATATCAATCAGTAGAATATACCACAACGCACTTCAAATGGATGTCCGGTTTCGTCATTCTTTATCACTGATATTACCACATTATCTAAAACCCATGCCATCATCTATCTAAACTAACAAGTAATCGTAGGGTTGCAACCCTACGCATAATCATTGAACAAAGCACAGAGAATGCCATTCAAACCTCCACCTCAACTTCCACGACTTCGAAAAGGCCTTCGATAGCGTTGACGGAGAAGTAAGTGGGAATTTACTTCAATGCTATGGCGTGTCCCAAATCTTTATCAACCTCATTTAATAACTATATGACAATAACACTCAGCGACGTGTTCAAAGTGAATGCAGGAGTAAGACAAGACTATCTACTATCACAGATGACATTCTTAACTGCGGTGAACTGGGTTATGCGCCAAACCTTGGGGAATGAGAAAACAGGAATACGATGAACCACCAATAAGGAGACTCTGAAAGACCTGGGTTTCGCAGATGATTTATTTCTAATGTCCCACAAACTCGAAGACTTGCAGGCAGGCGAAAAGAAACAAACTGGCTGAAGAAGCAGCGAAGACAGGATTTCAGGTGAACATAAAGGCGGAGGTGATGAAGAATAACCAACCAACAGCAGTAAAAACAACCAGCACCAATCACCATCAACAGGAGAGATTTGAATGAAGTTACTTCCTTCACTTATCTAGGAAGCATCGTTTCAACTATATGCGGGACGGATGAAGATATCAAAGGCAGCCAGAGTCGGAAGGGCAAGTTACACCTTCATTAATCTCAAATTAGTTTGGAAATCTTCTGCACTCAGCCAGCATGAAGAACAAGATTCTGATTTTCAACACAAATGTCAAGTCAGTCACCTCTTCTATACGGGTCAGAAACTTGCAGTGCGTGTCACGAAAAGGATTTCCAACAAGTTGCAGACTTTTATCAACAGCTGCCTTCGCTGGCTCGATACCTGAAGAGCAAGTGACCAGCCGGCCAGAAAGAATTAGCAACAAGAAAATATGGGAACAATCTAACCAAGAACCTATCACTCAATCAATATGTAGGAGAAAATGGAGATGGATTGGGCACATGCCACTGAGGAGATCGTCGAATGACATCGTGCGCCGGGTCATAGCTCGAGTGGAACCCGAATGGGGAACGATGAGTGGGTCGTTCGAGGGTGACGTGGAGGAGACCATATGATGCGGATGAGATGAGAGACTAGGAACAATCGTGGACCCAGCTGATGAGGACAGCACCAAAGTGGACACATGCTGTTGAAGCCCTATGTTTCACTCGGAACCCAAGGGAACAATAATAATATTAACAAGTTGTAGGAAATCGTCGAATTGATCAGAAATAAAAATATTTTCGGATGAAAGATGCTATTATATCATAGATATGGCAAAATAACCCAAAGAATAAATAAATAAATAATTCCCTGATTTCACTCACCTGTACATGGTCACGTTCAGCTTTTTGAGATTCATACTCTCTTTGTTGATTTAGTAGCCTTTCTGCACGTGCTTGTTCAAATGCATCATAATTACCTCGATAGGCGTCTAAACGTTTGCAATTTAAGTGAATGATATCAGTTGACACAGTGTTTAAAAAACTACGGTCATGTGAAACAATCAAAAGAATATTGGACGATGACTGTGTGAAGAAATTCAAATGGAAAAAGAAAAAAGAGAATAGTTGGTCAAAAAGTATTTTAAAAAGCCTCAAGAAAACTAAACAAAAAATAAAAAATAAACAAAAAAATAAACCTTTTAATTCTCCAAAAGTGCACCAGTTAAATAACTATTAGTCTTGAACCTCTGGTATTTCTGAATTTGAGATTTCCAATGATCCTATTTTCAATTGATGAATGTCAAAGCGACCAAATCATGATGTCACCGCCTTTCTCGCTACTCAATGTTAGCTGACATAAGATTAACTTGCAAAAGAATTACGGTTGGTTCAACCATAACCTAGAATCAGTTCACGGAGTCTTTGACTGTTGGTTTGAGCCCCGCATGGAAGTCTCAACTGCCTATTTGGGTCCTTAAGACGCTAAGAACCAATAGCTGGAGGGTGTTAGTGATACGGCTCGCTCAAAATCCTTGTCTTTGACACAGATACATCCACTCTTCGTGATCTCCTAACCCACGAAATCCTCATGGTTCTCCATTCGTACTGCAGCACATTTCTTTACATTATAGTTTCCTTGGATACTTTTTCCCCTATCTCTGTGTGCCTCTAGCGATGTGGCTACTTCAACTGTTACACTTCTGTTCAAAATTCTATTTTGAAACTCAGTGAGTCAGTCAGTATAGTATACAGAAATAGTGGATAAAAAGGTGGGGATGACATTAAACATTCGACTTCCACCCGACAGCTGCGTGTTCAAATCTCCCCCCCCCGCATACTTTTCAGTCTTGGGCCGACTGGATAGTGTCATCAGGCCTCCTGCTACATGAAAGATCTGTTCCGGGCGATCGAGTTATACTCAAACTAATACTAGATAATAATATTACAATATCACTGTGAAGTATACCGAATAAGCACACTAACATGAAGTACCTAATTTTTTCCAGTTCTTTGTCTCCCAAGTGGAACATAAGGCCTCAAACTTGAGCTCTGAAGTTTCAGTAATAGTGTTGTTCCTGGCCTCATGCCCAACCTTCCCTCTTTTCCAGGCTTACTATCAGCTAGTAAAGTAGGCGAGGTTTCAGGAGTGAATTGGCTGGCAGTCGAACTCGGACCACGTGTATCGTTGAGGAGCACTTTACCCCTGAACCACTAACACACCCTAACATGATGCACCTAGTAATAAGTGAAAGGAAAAGCAGATTATCATGAACTTACCTGCAGATAATCTTCTAACCAAATGATTGCACGCATATCAAGCATATTAGTCGGTTCATCTAATAAAAGTAAATCAGGTTTTGCAAAAAGTGCTTGTGCCAAAGCTAAACGCATACGCCAACCACCAGAAAATTCTTTAGTTGGTCTACGCTACAAGTGTTTAAAAAAAAGAAACGTTAAATGTCTCAAACACAATACTTTTCTAGCATGTTTGCTTGCAGTTCGGTAAGAATAAACCTTATTTTCGAAGATACTCTTTTAATTCTCTAACAAACCGAAACACATTATTTAACTTTTCATAATAATAAAACAAATGTAAAAGTACGTAGATCAAAAAATCTAGATTTTTACATGGGAGAAATGGTTATGACATCGGTTTAGCTAATGACAAAAAAGTGATATTTCGCTAGCTGTTCAAACTGTTCCTTCTCCGACATTCCTAATACCTCTAATCTTCACACTTGCCTCCATAAAAGACTTGGTACGGTCTTCCTCTTGAAATGCTTTCATGTACCTACGCATTCATAGCCTCTGCCAGGTAAGTTCTATTCATTACCTTAACGCAGTAGGGGTGTTCCTCACAAAAGTAAAAGGGTAGATGCGGACGTCTGGCACTTACAACCAGAATGATGGACATGGTCTACTTATGGGGATTGGGAAATCCTAATTCCACATCTGTGGTGTACATGGACTCCAGTATCCAGAATGATCGAATGGCCTATAGGCCTTTTTTGGACACAGGTAATGGTGAGAAAGTAGCTCCAAATGCAGCTTCACCGCCTCGTAGATAACACTTTAAGCCAAAGGCTCGGAGAGTAACCGCTTAAGACAATCACCTGCTTTTTTTTGGACGTCTAGACAGTATCTAAGTCCTAGCACAAACTGAGATCATATGTGACGCATGTCTTGGCACCTATAATCTACCAAGTATGTGTCTTAATAAATAGATAAATAATAGCCTTCACACCTATTCCATTATGGGTAAATTTTGTTTTGATAAAGTCTCACAGTGTTATACAGTAATGTTTACTGATGACGTTTCGAGCACAATTTATTGCTCATAATCATATATTACACCCTACCACAGTGCACAAGTTTTATTCTTATATCAACTTCACACCTATTACTAATAAAAGTTCCAAATGTATACTTCTGTTAGCTACTCAAAAATAAATGTGTATTCCAATCAAGGTATAATCGCTTTAGTAATAACAATGGAGACAATAGTCAAAATAGATTATTACACTTCGGCTTCCAAATAAACAAAAGGTCGGTAACTCTTTCCCAATCATTTACAATCTAAGGCATGATATATATGCAAAGGAAGAAGTGAACTGATATTTTAGAATAATGCATTAAGAAAGAAACTTAGTCCAACGTCTACTACATAGTGATTTTTCCGAAAGTTTCCGCCCAATATTTAGCTTCAGAAGAACATTTAATCAAAAAGACATAGGTCAGTAAAAAACATTCTTCTCATAACTTCACTCCAAAGCTGTACAGTTTTATTTAATGTTGTAGAAAGCCAGGGGATTGCTGTGGATACAAGCTCTTGCCATACACAAGGAAAACCCTGAACTGTGTATAATGAAGCAGTTCATCCAATCCTTTTTTTACTACTGTGGCTGTAAACTTTGCCTTCTTTAACTCGTACAATAATCTGGTATACAATTGAAATTCATTCGACTTTTGTCTTCATCTTATTTCTTCCTTTAAAACTGTTAACTTTAAAGCATACTTGATAAACATTCTGAATCTCTTACTGTTTTGAACAATGTTCTTGTTTGCAAGCGCTTGTCATTTTTAATTTTAATTTACGATGATCATTCACTTATTTGGTTTTAGATCAAATAATTTATTATTTTGCTTGATATGCAAACTTATATGTTTTGTTACCAACTGATACGACTAACTGACCTTATAGGCAATCCTCTAACCTTTTACAATCCTATATAACTGTACAACAACTTTGGAAGGGTAGTTACGAAAAGGATGTTCTTTATACTGATGTGTCTTTTCGATTTATGTCACACGGGCATTTGCCATCCTCAAGAGAATATTTAAGCTAATTTTTCAAACAGTAATCTTGATAAAACTGTTTCTTTTTCACTGAATGTACACCACAATGCAAAAATCCACGCTACTATACAAGCTGTCTTTAATCTCACTACTACTTCTGTGGCGTGTGCTACTGATAAGATTTATCAGTAGTATGTATATAAAGAGACGTTCATCGGCATAAAGAACATCAAATAGCAGGGAGATAGATAGATTTGATGTCAGAGGAGGCAAATGATAATACAGCATTGTGGAGATACTTGGGAGACATGAAAGGAGCACAAAGAAAGACAATATGAAGGCCAGAAGTAGAACAACACGGAAGATCCATGCAAATGGTGCGTTGAAGATAAGGTGCACATAATCCAGCTATGTAGGGATACCAAATTGCAAATAAACATTCCTTCACCAAGTCTATCTTATCCTACCATTACACTACTACTACTACTGTGGCGTGTGCTATTGACAAGATTTATCAGCAGAATTTAGCTCACGTTGTGGTCAGGAAATAACCTTATCGGATAACTTTTCGTCCCTAGGTTTAACCTACAGAAAATCAACAACCAGTCATAAGTTTGTTATTCATTGACCTAGTTGACCTTAAATGTGGCTAAAAATGTATAAATATGGTGGGTTTTTCCTTAATAAAAAGTCTGCTACCAAGTTTCTCGTGTTCTCCCGTTACACTTCTACTACTACTACCCAACCAATAACAGTTACGTCATTACAGAATCCTTACAACCCAGAATATCATACAGCAAAAAATGAATGTTTCTATGACAAGAAAGCTCAAACGACCGTCATTTACAGCTGCTGATGTCCAGTAATTGTAGTGCGAAGTCTTAGCCAGGGAAATTCATCATGTCAAGATAAAGTAGATGCATTTGGTTGGCGATAGTATTAGTTAGAATTTACGTATCATTGAATTTCAACCCAATTTGTTGAATGGTTAACGAGCCTGGTGTCATGACGCGAAAGTATCGTGTTCGATCTCTGGTGGGGTCATGAGAAGGCACTGTTGAAGGAAGTGGAACTAGAATGAAAAAGCTGTCCAATACTCCCAGGTTTTTAATGATTCTCTAACTAAAATTGGTTCCTGACGAAATCTAACACTGAAATTAAACAAATTATGCTTTTTGAAGTAACTAGACTAATTCAATGGAGTTCATAACGTTTACAAAACCCAACAACTTTATAAAAATCTGATTACAAACCTGCATCTCTGTATCAAAACCAAGACCATGTAAAATGACAGCTGCTCGAGCTGGAGCTTTATCTGCTTCAATTGCATTCAAACGAGAGTAGATTTCTGCAGCTCGTGATTCAACTGTATTTACAGCAATAGGATTATTTTCATTTGATATATTTGAATTTGTTTCAGCATTCTTTTTCATTTGTGCTTGAAGACGAGATAATTCTGCCAGTAAAGCAGATCTTTCTGTATCAGCTTGAAGAACACTTTCCACAGCTGGTGTAGAATCACCAACAACCTCTTGTTCCACATGTAGTACACGAACACCCGGTGGTAAGTGCAAATCCCCTCTTAATATGTATAGCAAGAAAGGTATGCATTAGGTACTTATTACCAAGGTATATTGTATAGTAACAGACATTTCAATCAGAAATCAGAAAAAAAAAACAATAACACTGTGCAAAGTACATCATATTAATAGAAAAATAAATCACTTCGGCGGAAATGAAACCTACAAACCAATTCAGCACATTTACCCACCATAGATATTTCTATTTACAGTATCGTATTCTATGCAACATATGATACCACCCACTTACTTCCCAAACAAGGATAGTAAAATGATTGAATATGTTGACCAATCCACTTATTTACAAAACTGCATTAGCCTGACTGAACTCACTATTAAGGAGAAAACAGTACGCGCCCAAAAAACGTGTTTTATATTCGCTAAATTCGTATTATACTGGGCATCATCGAAATGTCCAGCTACTGAACAAAGACCTGCTAAAATACACAACATTTTACTTTGTTCTACTTCATAACCATAAGATATGACCATTGAAAGTACATACTGAGTAATATTCATCTTAGGCGTAGACAATTTCATTAAACAAAAAAGTCAATCGGTGAGTTAGTGAATCTCATAAAGTTACTAACAAACACTGAAATATCACATAGAATAAGAGAGGATAAGTGAGTCAGCAAGACAACACCATGGGATTGAAATCCATGAAATCATTCATTGTTGATCTGGGTTAGGTGGCTTGTGCACAGTCCTCTGCATACGATGAATAAATAGTTGCAGAATCATGATAATTTGGCTTAAAATGCCTCACAATGCTGGTAGCTGCATCTGTAAGAAAGAACTTTTATGAACATTGCAACCTTAATAAAAACGCCCTATAAACGACCTGGTACGGCTGAGAGTGGGCAGACTTCAGTCTTCCTCTCGAGAAGCTCTCCTGTGGCCACGTATCCATATTCTGCCAGGTAATTCCCATTCACTAGCTTCACGTGGTGCGGGGTGGTGGTTCTTCACAAAAGTGAAGGGGAAAATAGAAACGCTTGACGCTTACAACGAAACTGGTGGACATGCTAGTCTATCTAGGGGAGTTGGAAAACCCTAGTTGCAGGCATACGGTGTTCATAGGCTTCAGAATCCGAAGGGATCGAATTGTGTGTGAGCCAGTTTTGGTTACTAGACATCAGTGGAAAGCAACTCGTATCACTGTTCCACTGCCCTGTGAACCAGGCTTCAAGTTATAGGCTTTGGAATGGCCCCTTAAGACAACCACCTGCTTCGGTCTGAGAAACATCTCAGCCATTGCACAAACTACGAGTTTGTGTGGGACATTTCTTGGTGCTTACGATATACTTAATTTATGTTTTGATAAAAATAAATAGTACTTTCTGTATTTCAACCGCAAACCGAGACATGTGCGAAATAAATAAAGAATAGTAGTAACAATGATGAAAATCATATCCGTTATTCTCCTACAAAATTTGGAATAGAATTTTGTTAGACAGCACTAGGGACTTATTGTGAATTGAAGGCACAACACCTTTACTATCCTAGATACCCCAATTAAAAAAGAAATTATTTTTCGTCTATACAAAAGCCATACCAATCACACTTACTTGGCTAAAGATCGGAGTAAAGTTGTCTTACCAAAGCCATTTCGACCCACTAAACCATATCTCTTACCATAGGCAAGAACAAGATTAGCACCTTGGAGAAGAACTCTGAAAATAAGCATAATTTGGTATAAAATAACCGTTAAAGCATATCAACTGAGCGATAATTACACTTATGCAAATCCAAGTCTGTTAAGCTCTTTCGATATGATTCAAAAATTAAATGTGACTAAAGGTAGGGTATCTGTAGGAAAAATGCATTGGAAAAGTCTTTATTCAGTTATTGGTGTTGTATCACTTTGTTGTGTGAAAGAAATCTACCTAACATGGAACTGTTTTACATTCTAAAATAAAGTCTATCCTCAATTCATTAGACGTGACTCTTCTTTATAAATGCTTGCTAGAAAGTCTATTCTACCTCTTGCTATGTAATTTAAGTACAAAACTATTATACATTCATTGGGTGAGTATTATAGTGGTAGGAAATGAAATCGCCCGGAGAGGTTTCTTCATACAGAACATTTTCCTGTATTTTGATTATAGCTTGAAACCACACAGTACTTTTGGTACAAGTATGGAATTTTCAGCATGTGATATCGGTAGCCGACCATTGATATCAGGTGTGCGTCGGCAGGGGATCGAACCCTGGACTATGTGCATGGTCGGCGAGCGTCCTAACTGCTGTGCCACCTCCATGAGGTTTATCAGCATATCTAACTGCTTACAATATCAAATGCAAATGGAATTACTGACCGATACGATTGTGTTTCTACCCTCAGAACTTTATGACTACACACAGCTTTCTTCACACTACTTTAAAACAGCCCACTTGTAAGGATTAAAGAAATCTACCAACAGTTGAATGTTACACTTTTATATCTCATACGCTGGTTTTCACTCAGTATGATCCAGCGACTGTCACAGTCGAAAAGAGATACATCGCTGTGAATAATTTTCGGCAGTCACATCGTCTTAGTAGCAATGAACTCCCTTACTGTTTAAGCTTTTTGTGATGATATCACAAAACCTAATATTCTAATCAATAGAGTGCTTCAACCCTTCAACAGGAGAAATCCTTTAGTCAGTTTTATTTGCTGGTAATGTCTGCTTGCTCTAAGCGTAAACTTGCTACATAACGTAAAAGTGAGGATTTCCACCGTTCAGTATCTGTATAAAGATGAAAGAATACAATAATTTTGGCCAAGATGGAGTGTAGATGACCGCACACAATTCGCTTTCCATTGATCATCCATTTGTGTTACACAGTATAAATGAGGTTAAGAGGAAGCTAATAACAGACAAATCCATGCGACACAACCACCTGAAAGAACCGAAACCAATTTTCAGGTTAGAACTTTGTACAAGAGTGCATTACTTCAAGTAGTCGTGCGTCGATGAGAATGCATAAGGGTGAAAAGAAATGAGTCAGCTAATTATAGTGCATTTATCAGCACTTCCCTAAATATGCACGAAAAGGTGACTAATGCAAGTTAAAGATTTAGCTTAAGCATCTGTGATAGATAATTAAGGTTGTTCTTTTAAAACTTCAGTCACTAAGTAACCCACTCACTAACACTTACAGAGAACTAACCCTAAAACATTTCCAATGTATTGTAAGTAACATTTGTGTTAAAGTCTCTTAGCTTAGAAGCTCTATTTCGAAGATATAATTACGTATATTCCCCGAAAACATACCTACTTCCATACGCAATATCGAAGTTTTCAAGACGAATATCACCAACATGAGACACAGCACAGGCAGAGGCAACTAATTCCCGTCTGTCCAACTGTTGACTAACAGTGGCACGTTCTTCTTCCTTTAAATCAGCAGATTTTCTAATAGAGAAATAGTAATTACGAAAGTAAAACTAACCCCACAGGAGCTGGTCTTCCGGGAATGATTTTCTTTCCTTGCTTCTCTTTTATCTTAGCTTCAGCCTTTTCCAACTTTTTAGCGTTAACTATTGTAGTGCTTTGCTTTTTCATCATCCAAATGCTAGAATTATCTACTACTCTTTCACTAAAAGTATCCAATAAGCTTGCCATTTGAACAGGAGCATCCAAAGTGGTCTGTTTCTCAACGTAGCCATCATTTCTGTGAGTATTAGATGCAACGAAACAAGAACCTACGGCTTCATTAGCTGATAAATTTTTTTGCACAAGACCTCGATCTCCTGGTTGGTTGTCTGAGAAAATAATCCATCCAGGATTCCACCAATTGCATCATGCACATCGTCTTCAGAGTCGAAATGCTCGGCATTTTCCGTTAGGACACCTACAAAAGTGAAAAATACTACTTAATTAATTACTCTCTATGTAGCTTGCAATGTCATCATCCAAACTAGGGAACGCCTCCCTGAAAAGGCTAACTGCGACTGATATCTGTCCACTTTCCATTGGGTGACGCAACCCACAAACTACGCGCTGCCTTTGGTTACAGTTTCAATTTGTGTGAGATAAATCTCCCTTGTTGGTTGGACTTATATGTCACGTTTGGTTGAAATTTCGCTTAGAAATTTTTTCTGTGAATGACTTTTATTAAAATTGTGTTATGTGCTATCTGGATTGATGGGAGTTCTCATTTCCTGACTAGTCATGTTGTTGTCCACCTCATGTGATCTGACTGCGACACACTATTAGCATATTGGTTGCAATGATTAGTGTTTCAGATGGACTGTGTCAAAATAGCCCTATAATGGGCATAATGGGATAGTTGGAGGGTGATGTCATCTACACAAATAGTTTAATGGATGTGGAAGCTGCACCTTCGGCACAGTATCGTTCAATGAGGACCTCACGTCTCAGGATATCAATATAGCTACTTTAGAGTGAAGAACAGTGCTATTTGACAAATGAATGCTATCAGTACATGGGAATAACCTGTAAATGCTAACAGAACCTTCTATGGGAACAGAAGCTATCATGTTGATGTGCTTGTCACTTTATCTGTGGTTGGATAGGAATTATCGTGAGTTGAAATGTTATCTCTAAGTGGATCTAATGTATATTTACACTGATTGGCACATTGCGACATGGGTTATGTGAATTAAATGTATAAAAATATCTCAACTTTGTTGATATTGTGCCATTGTCTGCTTAGCTGACTGCTAGGCCAAATGATGTAGGTGGTTCTCATGATTGCTGCAAGTCCAGTGCAGTGGAGAGGGCAATTACTCGTTTAGATTTCCTTACTGTTTCACTTGATGCATTAATTCAGTGCATGCACATGGATTGTGTTGATTATGAGAACTGAATCTAGTCAGCTCTATTATTATTATTATCGATCTACTGTCTGTTATACCATTCCCATTGACACTGTATACTTAATGCTGCAAAATTTTTCATCACCAAGAGTGAAGACGAATTACTCCTGAGATTTCCATTTACGTGACCCGGTACAGATGCACCATCACGAATGAATGTCTAGGTTGCATTATATGACATTGTTATCCTCATCAACACAGCAGGTCTGTTTATCTTGCGATATTTTAAGTGTTTCTCTATGCTGTTAACACTGTGCATAGCTGTTTAGAGTTAATGCATGTTCAGCTTATATTTGATAACTATAGCTTCCTAAATATGAGAATGTAATTTCTGCGGGATTCACTAGACACTACTGAGATTGTGGATTAATTTTCAAGTTACACATACGAAATACTTCTTTCAATGCAAATGTATTTATTGTGAATTCGGTCTGCAAATAATCTTGATGAGAGAATAATACCTTAACAGTATAGATGTTCCTCAGACTTTGTTGAAATTTGCGTGTGATCCTCTAATACTGGAAAGCATATGAGGTCTATTCATGCATACGGCGTCAATATCAAAAAACCAGCTGTGGACTACAAGTACTTTTATTTGCATTGGAATTTTACTTAGTATTATTAGAATCAATGCATTCACTCTGCACATTAATATGTAAAATTATCTTTCATAACTTCGTGTTGTGCTTTATTTTTTAGGTATATGGAGGTTGTCTGATATGAAATCTGTGGAAAAGTCAATTGGTCAAACTAACGCTAATACCCTTCATCAAAATTTTCTTTCGTAAATTAATGAAATGTTTAATATACTCTTAGTTTCTACTTCTCCCGGACTTCTTCGCTGCCTCGCCATACTTTGTGATTTTGTAATATGTGAATTCGGATTAATGTATGTTAAGCTTAGTTGGTGGAATGGAGATTTACTATGGCATTATAAGACTGTTACTTTAGTTATTCATAGGATTTCACGTCTGTTTCTGTACAACAACACGTTGCAAAAATAAGTAGGATTTAGCAAGTTGGATAACAATTCTGTGCTGTTCGATACGCTAAAGTCGCTTTATCTAGCCAGTTGCAAGTCTGTATACCGCTAAACGCGAAGTCTGTAATAATAATATATATTTCCTATCAATGTAGGACACACCAGTTGTACAGGCATGGATAAGTATTATTTAAATTACATGAATTTGATTTATAGTGAAATTACATGGTTGCTGTCCTCTTTGACATCAGTTAGTGAGCACATTCTGATAGTTAGTCGTTCAATGGAGCACATTAAGAAATATAGAAATATTGTCTTCGCATTAACAAAAAAACCCAAGTGTGTGTCGGATAAATTACAAATATCTGGGAAAAAATAAAGCTTGAAGTCAATTCCTCCATATAACTTTATTGTGTGCGGCATCGTATCTTGTTTTATGTTCAAATTGGGTATTAATTTAAAATGAGTGATTTATTTTATGATTTTGACATCATTTTTATTGCAAGTAATGTCAGATGTGAATTCAACTGAATGCAGATTAATATTGGTCATTGTCAAGCAGATTTGTCTTACTGCACTCAAGTCACCCACAGCCCGCCATTTGTCACAGCATGGTTGTTCCGTACGAGTAAGTTGATAAACGCGTAGAAAGCTATATAAAAACCATTTTAGATCGTTGACAGTGCTTGTATAAGATGCTGTATGGCGTCTTGTTATGGTGACAGTGGATTTCATCAGGGATGCTGAGCCATTACTAGCCAAACCTTGAGGGATGATATATGAGTAAGTGACTTCAATTGTTTCTCAGCTTCAGTCGGAATGTAGATCAATGCAACTTGTACTACAAAGCAAATACAACAGAAATGTACCAGAGGGCAGAGAAAAAGTATGTGGAGTCGAACATATGTGTTTATAATCGTTGTACATTGTAATTTGGTGAACAAATATTTATTTCTACTAAGTCTTTTTATGCATTTATGCTACTAGTTTATTTATAGTCTTTAGACAAGTAAGGGTATCTAAGCGCGTTTAGGTACTGTAGTAGACTGATAGTTGATTCGTTCTAGGAATAAATAGTTTATTTATATAATCAGTAGAGTGAAATAGTGTGTACAGGGAGCGTTTGAAACTTATAACCGTATTGCAGCTCCTGACTTCAAGGGGCAGGCTGTTCCATATTTTAAAATTTATGACTGTGAAGAAGTTTTCGCGGAGTGTTTACCCAAAGGCTTTTATTGTCACTGTGCAAGTTTGGTTACGCAGATCGTAAGAGCCTTCCTGTGCGAATTGTATGTCCTTACTGTCTGAGAATGATATTTTGTATAGGACCTTAAAGAAGAATACTAGATTTATAATAAGTCGTCTTGTCCAGAGTGATCATGCACCGTGAGATGCTTTCTTTCTTACAATCGTAGCCAAGTAGTTTGGAGGTAAACTCTCGTTGGATACTTCCTATCCTTAGCTTGTCACGTGTACGAGTGCTGCTAATAATAAATGGACAGTATTCTAGTAGTGGCCTTACACATGTTTTGTACAGAATTAGCCTGGCTTCATTGTCGTGAAAGTTCCTGAGTATGCATCCTAAGAGCATCCTCGACTTTCGAGTCTGTGATGCCGCTTGCTCAGAAAATGTTAGGTTACTCGAGTACCTCAGGCCTAAGTCAACGACACTTTGGAGTCTGGTTAGGTTAGCCGATTGAAGCGTTAACCTCATGTCGACTGAGGGTGCACCGAAGCAGATCCAGCCACATTTTTTAAGGTTAAATTGGAGGTTCCGTAAAGACGACCAAGCAGTCACTTTATCTAGTTCTTTTTGTATAACATTCTGGAAGTACCCTAGGTCATCAGATTGGAATGTATAAGCTACTTTGAGGTCATCTGCAAAGATGAATGGTTTCCCATGAGAAAAGCAAGCGCATATGTCGTTAATATACAGGGTAAATATAAGGGGTCCAATAACAATACCTTGTACTACACCAGAGGTGATTGGGCTAGGTTTCGAAGTTATAGATCCGAGTTTAACTATTTGGGACCTATTGTTAAGGAATGATTTAAGCCATCCTAATAGCGGGTCACTTATTCCTAAGGATTTCAGCTTGTGCACTAGTAGTAAATGGTCGACACGGTCAAATGCCTTTGAGATGTCAAAGTAGATGACAAGTACTAGTTGTCGTCTGTCACGACTGCTGGTCACAAAGTTAAAGAAGTCTAAGTGGCATGTTAAACAAGATCTGGATTTTAGGAATGCATGTTGGTTCGGACTTAAAATATTTCAACTAAGCATATGCTTCATTAGGTTTTCTTTAACTAGTCTCTCCATAATTCTAGATGCTATAGGTGTGATATTGATCGGCCTGTAGTTGCTGACTTCTGTTTTCGAGCCAGATTTGTGTTTAGGCATAATAGACGTTGTTTTCCACACATCAGGGTAAGTTTGGGTTTCTGGGGACATTGTCAATATTTTAAGCAGTAGTAAGGGAATGTCAGGGCCACCATATTTCTAAAAATAGGATGATATACCGTCAGTACCGAAACCTTTTGAGCATTTTATGGTTCTTATAGTTTGTTTAATGTTAGTATAGTTAAATTCAATAGTGCTAATTAAGTTTGGTGTCAGTGGAGATGGAGTTTGTGCCACATTAGTAGCAGGGTGTATATTGAGTAACTGGACTGTGGACTTAAGGTAGTTACCTGCAAAAGTTGAGTTGAATAATTCACACATGTCTGCGGAATTAGTGCATAGCCTACCTTTGTCTATGAGGAGGGAAATGCTGTGATTTTTGCGATTCATTCGCTACATTAAAGTACAAGTAAATGTAGTAACTTGACATCTACTTGGCGGCCTGCTTAAATCTTGGGCTACCAAATACCTCATTCATTACAAATCATATTGCATCTAATTGCTAATTTCCAATTTATTTTAAATAATTAAATTTTATTCTAATATGTCCTCTAATCGGATTATTTATTCTCGTGAGTATTTAATATCCTTAAAACCTCCTGATCGGAAATGCCATAAAAAAGACAAAAAAATCACCATGCCGGGTGGCAAAGAGCCTTAGAAAACACCCCTATTCAATTTATGACCGTTCCTGCAATCATGAGTACTAACTGTCGCTCCCTGCCAGCCAAGATTAACTGTCTTCAATCACTCGTGTCTTCCATTGTACATCGAAATACTGGGATCATATCACT